GTTCTCGGGCTCGGTGCCCCGGGGCTCCAAGGACCTGTCGGTGCTGGCCCTGCGGTTCTCGGTGCCCCTCGCCCACGGCTCACCCTCGGTGCCGGTCCGGCTCTCGGTGCTCAGCATGTCCCAGGCGTGAGTACCCGGGGCGCGGGTCTGAGGGGCGGGATCCCCTCAGAGGGGGTAAAACAGCCCGGAGGGGAGGCGGGTGCACAGCACAAAGTGACCGCGTCGTCTGAGGAAAACCAGGCAAATGTTAATATTATCCACTCAGCCCCTTTGCACAAAAGGTTCCTCTCTTTTACAGCCCACAATTTGCACGGCTTGTCTCTTTCCCCCAGTAATTTCAGCACAGCGCAAAGCTTTACACGTCCGTCTGCAATAACCGGACAGCAGTGACGGCGCTGGATCAAGGTGCTCATTCCCCCAGAAACATCACTCCAAGCACACATATTGAGCAAGTATTCTTATTATTGGTGTGCTACAGTGCTGGCAGCTGAACTGTGAGCATCTCCCATGGTATTATCCCTCAGTGTTGTGCTGTTTGCTGCTTCCAGCTCCAGCAGCACAGCCCAGTTTGGGGAGGCTTTTTTCCTCAGTTCTAAACTGCATTTCACTTGTTCAAGTTCAGTGAATAACAGTGCATTAGAGAAAAAAAAAATGTAGAAAACACCTCAGGATGGTTTTACTACCTCCCTCTGCTCCTGTCCTTCACACTCAACCTGACCATACCCAAATTGCTGCCCCAGCAGGCTGTCAGCAAAGCCTTTCCTGGCATCCTTCCCATGGTCTCCCCTCCTCTGGGATCACTGGTACCAACCTCAAAGCCCCTTTGTTTCTTTTGCCCAATATCCTCTTTCCAAACGCCCAGCTTTTTTCCAGGTAAAATTCCCTCAGATTCTAAAACATCCTTCCACATTCAGAACCAGAGCAGCTCGCCTTGTCACCAACACCTTGGGTTTCATAGAGTGGTTAAGGCTGGACAAGACTTGAAAAATCACCAAGTCCAACCTTCAACCAAAACATAATATATCATATCATAAATATCATTAAATGCCACATCTGCTTCCAGGGAGGGTGACTCCACCATTCCCCTGGGCAGCCTGTTCCAATGCTTAACTCCTCTTTTCAGTGAAGAATATTTTCCTAATATCCAATCTAAACCTTCTTGGCTTAACTTGAGGCCATTTCCTCTTATCCTAGAGTTTGTTGCCTGGGAAAAGAAGCTGAATCCCCAGCTGACCGCAACCTCCTTTCAGGCAGCTGCAGAGAGGAATAAGGTTTCCCCTGCAATTGTTTTCTCCAGCCTTCTTTTCTCCTCACCTGCCTCCACACACTGGCAGGCCCAGCCAGATACCAGTGAAAATGCCACTGCTTTCCAGCTCCTTGGTTCAGGAGAGGAAGGTGGGGTGAGAGGAATAAAGAACAACATCCCCAAGGGCAGGGCAGAGAGTGTCTGGGGGCTGTGTCCAAGGACAGACTCAGCACAGCCTCCAGCTGGAGGAAAGCTTGGTTAGATCCCTGGTGGATCCAATGCAGGGCTTGTATAAATCATGCCTAATATTCTCATGGAATCAGTTAACTGAAGTGCACAAGGTAGTGGAGAGATTTCTGAACTGTGCTCTTTAAAATAAATAAATAATAAAAAAAATAATAAAAAAAAAGAGATAAAGGAAGAAAGAAAAAAAAACCCAAAAGTAGCGGGTTAACTTCCTTATCTTGGAATCTGTCATTCCTACCCAGTCTCTGAGTCATGGCTGCTGTTGTTTGAGCCAGATTAACACCAAAGGAATTAAGGTGAGCATAGCTGGAAAAATACTTGTGCTTCAACTGGTTTGGCTCAGTTTAATTTTAATAGATACAGGGCTTCTTAGCATTTCCCATGGCACTGCCAGCACTGAATGGCAAATCCACATAAACATGATCATATGTCCACACCACATGACAAAAACACATACCCAGTCCTGTTTCTGAGCAAGGTGCTGGTGAGGGACTCCAGTTTGCTCTGGAAGCTCCTTGGCTCAGGTTGCTATAATGACATTGTAGCTGTGCACAGCACAGGATTTATGGCTGGGCTAATCCAGCCCTTCCTAAACACAAGTCAGAGTTGGATCTCAAATAAGTTACTGAGGCTACTGTGAACGTGGTTGGTTGTAGTGAGGTTATGCTGGCTGGGTACCATAAATCAGAGCTGTTTAGCTTGGAAAAGCCCTCTGAGATCATCAAGTCCAACCATTCCCCAGCACTGCCAAGCCACCACTAACCCACATCCCAGGTGTCACATCCAAATGGCTTTTAAATCCCTCCAGGGATGGGGACTCCACCACCTCCTTCTCTCCATGAAGAAATTTTTGCTGATATCCAGTCTATCCTACATCCTCCCTGGAGCTAAATGGGGTTTACAGGAAGGCTGTAAGGAGAGGGACTTTCCACAGAGGTATGAAGTCATTAGGACAAGGGGGAATGGCCTTAAGCAGAAGGGCAGGTAAATATTGGATATTAAGGAGAAATTCTTCCCTGTGAGGGAGGGCAGGCCCTGGCACAGGGTGCCCAGAGAAGCTGTGGCTGCCCCTGGATCCCTGGCAGTGTTCCAGGCCAGGCTGGATGGGACTTGGAGCAACCTGGGACAGTGGAAGGTGTCCCTGCCGTGGCAGGGGGTGGAATGAGATGATCTTTAAACTCCCTTCCAATCCAAACCATTCCATGCTTCCATGACTCTACAAACCTTCCCTGGTGCAACTTGAGGCCGTTCCCAAGGTATTTTAAATGCCATGTGACAAAAATGACTTGCAACAACCTGCCTTACCTGAAGGCAATGAGGCAAGGAGCCGATAACGAAAGGGGATTATGAGAAAGAACTTTGGTTCTTCAGAAATAGAAATGCTACCCAGCTTTCCTTGATCTTGAGGTAAACCTTGAGTTCTGAGGCGTGTTCACCATCCTCAGGGTCCTGTGATTCTAAGAAGTGTGGGCTAAAGCAGAAGATTAATTCCACTGCCTCAGGAAAGCCCTGTGTCAGGGCAGAGAGGATGCTCAGAGAGCAGCAATGTTCTCTTAGGGTCACTAAGTCCAGCAGCCAGACAGGGAAAAAGTCAGCATGTCCAGACATGCCTTGCATTTTCTAGGGACAGTCTCAGCACTCTGGAGGGAATAGAGCCAGTAAGGGTGATTAAAAAGTGCTGGACTATCTCACTTCCCAAAGCACTCAGCCCCAGCATTTGCATGCAGACGTACCTTCTGTTCCAGACACTGGAGATTCGCAGAGATGCTGCTGCATTTATGTTTTCCTGCTGTGTTTCCTCCTCTTTTATGGGTTTGTTTACCCTCTGCTTGACCCGTGGGTTCCTGACCAGTGATTTCTTACCTTGCCCCTGACAGCCCTAGTCCAGACACATTCAAAGCCGAGTCTTGGCACTGCTACCACTCCTGCCAGGTTTTAATCAGCTACAAGACATTTGCCACTGCCACCAAGGAGCTTTAAACAATCAAAGCGCTTTAAAATTTAATCTCGTGTCACAAATAGAATCTACATTAATTCACTGGTTAAATATTGATCTAAGACAAGACTCTGAGCATCTCTCTTCCTGCTTCCAACAGAAACAACCAAAGCAGAGCTCTGTGTTTTATATCACGTCCCCAAGGCTCAGCTGAAGAAAATTAAGGCTGCAAAACCCAAATGTGAAAAAATGTCAGTGCAACTTCTAATCCCCTCTCCTCTCCCCACCACGTTCTGTGGCTGCATTACGATGCAGTTTCTGATGCTGTGATCACATCCTATTTTCTTCCCACGGGGCCCCAGCCTCATTCAGCCATTGGGCCGTTGTTGAATATTTCTTTTTATCCCCTCATTCAGTGTCTGGCCCCAGGCCATATTCTTCAAATTCCATCCAAACGCCACAATTATTAGCTTCCTCCTGGGCATTCCTTGCATGTTCTCTCTCATACATCTCCCAAGCAGTCACAGATTCATCTCTGCCCCTCTTTCCACCCCTGGTGAGCATTAGCACATCATCTTGCTTATGTTAAAGCAGGAAATCAGAGACAGGATCAAATTGATCACAGCTAAGACTCAAAGCTGCAACTCCCTCCTGTGCCTCCCTTCATCCTTAATGAGCAGGTAGGGAAAGATCTTGTGTATTACTCGTTCAAGTGCCTCCTCTGGGAAAAAGCATTGTCAGTGGAAATATCCCAGCAGCACTTGTGCTGGAAAACAGGGAAAGAAAAGGCCCCAGTTTTCAAGAAACCGAGTAGATGGTGTCAGCTTTGAGCTTAAAGCCTGCTGCTCCCGGCAGGGGTAGAGCAGCACCCAGACACAGCCCTTGATGCATGGAATTGTAGGCAGCTGGATGGGTAATTGCCCCCTCCTTTTCTAGGGAAGAGAGGGGTAAAAGGAAAAAAATTACGTAGGATGGTTAAAGCCGAAATATGCTTTGTTGCCAGAAACGGTGAAGCGTGCTATAGGCAAATCCTGCTTGGAAGGGAAAATTCCACTTGCAAAGGAGAGGAGGCTGCTGTTCATATAACACAGAATAGTTTGGGGCTGGAAGGGACCTCAAAGCCCATCTCCTTCCATGCCCTGCCATGGGCAGGGACACCTTCCACTATCCCAGGGTGCTCCAAGTCCCATCCAAGCTGGCCTTGGATACTTCCAGGGATCCAGGGATAGCCACAGCTGTGCCACGGCCCCCCCACCCTCATAGTGACAAATTTCTTCCCAATATCCCCCCTAACCCTTCTCTTTGGCAGTGGGAAGACATTCCATGCCCTGTCCTCTCCCTCCAGGCCCTTGTCAATAACCTCTCTCCATCTTTCTTGCAGGTTCCCTTCAGGTGCTGGAAGGCTGCAATTAGGTCATCCCAAAGCTTCTCTTCTCCAGCATTCCCAATTCTCTCGGCCTTTCCCCATGGAGCTTCCCCATCCCTCTGATCATCCTGGTGCTTCTCTGGACTCTCTCCAGCAGCTCCAGGTCCTTCCTGTGCTGGGCCCCAGGGCTGGAGGCAGCTCTGCAGGTGGGGTCTCACCTGAGCAGGGCAGAGGGGCAGAATTCCCCCTTTCCTGCTGCCCACACTGTGGGATCAGCCCAGGGCACGCTTCTCCTGCTGACCCCAGAGGGAAGGGCAGCCCCCAGCCCCAGC